AATTCAGTTTGTACTACTTATTGTAGTAGTACATTTGTTTCATTGGAATTTCAGACATTTCTAATGATGGAGAAGTAGAAAGCCAAAACGCTTTTTTTCAAAAATGAGAAGTAGAATGCACATTGTATGTAATGCAGTGTAATTTAAAATTATTAGGGAGTACTAAAAAGTATGCAAATAGCAACTTTCACGATGAATCATCAGTTTGATATTAATTTGATCACTCCCTCAAGGTCATGCATTTTATGATTTTTTTTCTATTCACCTCATATATCTCTCATCTCTGCAATACTTCTGAAGAGTTATTCTGAATTGGAAAGTGATTAATATTGAATTTGAGGTTATTACATTCAACTTCAATTAAATTGAAAACGGTACGATCATGGATGCTTCGAAAATCCACAGAAATGAAAATCCATGGGTGTAATGTCCGAAGGACGGGTGGCCAACGAACTGGTCCTCTGCTTGCGATGAAACGATCATTAAAAAGCTCAAGTGATACATTATTAACGTTTCGAGTAATGTGTGGAGGCGCGCACCGTCTTGTTGAAAAAACACCTTTTGGTGATCGGCTAGGTTGAAATCATCAGAAAACTCTTTTAATATGGCTCTAAGAAACTCCAGATAACGCTCAGCTATCGAAGTATTATCGTGAAAAACTGGTCCAATGATTTTTGACCCAATAAGACCGCACCATATATTTATACTGGAAAGTACCTGAGGATTACAAGGAATATTTCTCATAAGCTTTCCAGTAATGATTTTTCCCGTTATACATGCCCCAATCGCTAAAATTAGATTCGTCAATCCATAGGAAGTCTTATCAGTGTGAGCGTTTTTTGGGGAAAATTGTGCTTTATGGGATACTCACGGATTTTCGCGATTTTTTCTGGGATGATACTCTACTACTCAAGACTCTACTAGACCGTGCTTTTGGGCTCTATAATACAAAGGAAGATCTCGAAAAGGAACTAGGCATCATCAAAAATGACCTACAATGGAATGGTTACTCCAGAGTGATTGTAGAACAGGCCTTAGCTAGAAGACAGCAAGAACTCCACAAGGAAGAGAAGCCGCCACAACCAGTACTTGTACTTCCTTACATCAGAGGATTATCGGAAAGAATGAGAAGAATTGGATCGAAGTACAACATCAGGACCTGTTTCAGATCTGGGAACACTATCCGTAGCAGTCTTACAAAAACCAGGCCACCAAACGCGGACTGCGATTCCAAAAATTGCATTTACCGGGTACCCTGTGAGTGCGGAGAATCATACATCGGTGAAAAGGTTTGGCAATCAATTGAGGTTTAAATGTATATTGATTCTTATTAAAAAAACACATATTTTGAAATAAATTGAAAATGCGACTTTCAGTTGTTTTTTTTTTCAGCACAAGTGAACTCGTATCTTCAATAATGAAGAAGTTGGCAATAGTGCCGATTTAAGTATGGTAATACTACAAGAGTGATTAAAAATTGCTCGTCATTATGAATATAATTACGACAGATAAATATTTCAATAAATAATCACTCGTAGTTTTTCTAAATTTGACTTTTAATTTGTTACACTCAATGACATTTTGTTATTGTACAAGTCATTGAATTTTTGACGAAAAATGACATTCACGAATGAAGAAAAAAGAGATATGATACAAATTTATTACAAATACGATAGAAACAGTGTTAGGACATCGGAAATGTATTCAAACTTGTATCCCGAAAGACGAAAACCGCATCGAACTATGTCCAAGTCATTGAATCAAAATCTCACAGAGTTTGGTTCGCTTGAAAAGCCAATGAAAAAATACAGAGACAGAATCAATAATCAAAATTTGATAAATGAGGTGTGTATGAGGTAAATTAGACATTGTGTACGTTTCAATGAAAATAGAACTTTGGACAAATAACAATAATTAACTAAAATGTAAAGACAAAAGTAAATCACAGCAAATACTCAATATGCTGGCCTTGTTCAGAATTACACAACTGTGCCCTTCTTCGAATATTATTCACTGCATGATTCATTTCCCTCCTTTTCAATCTTCTGAAGTCTCTAACAATGCTGTGTTGAAGGTCTCCAATATCTAAGGTCCCTAAGTCTGGAGACCTTGCTGGCCACCTCAGCGGTCCATTATTCCCTATCCATTCATCACCAAACCTTTTAGGTAATCAGTCAGGTAATCAGATACTCGTCTGGTGGTGTGCGGTGGAGCACCATCATGTTGAAACCAGACGTTGTTATAGTTAGCCAAAAGTAGATCTTCCAAATAGTCTTCGGAAATCGCCATAAAAAACTGGTGATGGGTTTCCCCATTCAGAATTCCGTCAAATAAATGAGGACCCAAAATTCTATTCTTGTAAATCCTTACTCACACGTTAATACTAAATCGCACTTGAGGTCGAATTTCTCGGAATTGCCTGGGGTTATTTATACTTCAAATGTCTTCGTTATTTCCATTGAGTATCTCACAATTCGTAAAAGTGCTTTCATCTTTCCAAATTACATTTTCCAGGAAAACAGGGAAATCAGGTCTTCTTATTAGCCAATTACAAAATTATAATCGCCTTTCGGATTCACATGGATATGTGTATTTTGTAACATTTTAAACCGCTTTTGTTCAGATGTCTCCAAGCACTTGTGGTACAAATATTCATTGCGGAGGGAATTTAACGTGTAGATTTCCCCGGGTTCATGTTTATGAGCAAATTATTAATTTCTATTGAAAAGGACACAATGTCTAACTTACCCCATATATACCTCATTTATCAAATTTTCTTCAGTTTCCTGGTCCATTCTGTTTCCATATTTTTTCCTCGGTTTTTCAAATTAACTGAGCTTGGTGATATTTTGATCCAATAACTCGAAGATAGTTTGATGTGGTTGTCTTCTTTCGGAATACAAGTTTAAATACATTTCCGATGTTCCAACACTGTTTCTATCGTATTTGTAATAAATTTGTATCATATCTGTTTTTTCTTCATTCGTGAAAGCCATTTTTCGCCAAAAATTCAATGACTTGTACAATAACAAAATGTCATTGAGTGTAACGAATTGAAAGTCAAATTTAGAAACATCAAAGTCAAAGCCTATTATATGATAAGAAATAATTTTTTTCAATATCTCCAGTTTTTCGGAAAGAATGATAACTTATGATACACCATCAAGAAAGGTAAAATCTGGTTCTATTCAAAATAGAAAGAATTCAATGTAGCGACCATAAGAAAAATAAAGTTCATGATTGTGGCCGGAAGACAAAATGTCGGATATCAAATCTGAAAACACCATTATGTAGCAGAGAAAAAGTGGCAATGTGGAAGTGTGATTTGTTTTCGAATCCTTCAGAAAATAAAGCCAGCAAAAAATAAAAACCATTTCCCGAAATTTCTGAATTTTCCGAATATCTCCGGATATTCTCGAGATTTTAAAACTCTCCCAACGGCATATTGTTAGTCAGGTAAATGCGCAACTTTGCCCCAATTTAAACACCTTCGTATCTCTCATAGTTTTCGAAATCTCAATGGTGAGGATCGAATTTGAAACACCCTGTATATGAGACTATCGGAAAATTAAAACTCTACAATGTTGAGGCTCTCACTTGTTAACAGTTCATTGGAATATTGAGACCATTTTTCAATTACGTTGAAATGAAACAAGCAAAGTATACGATACATATGATTTGATATCTCTTGATGATAATTTTTCCTTGCGTTTAAATAAATTTCAGCAATTCAAATACATTTCTTGAGTACATTGAAATTATCATTTCTTTCCTAGGTGAATGGAGTATCCGTGATTGGCTTTACCAATCATCAAGCAGTCGAAACGTTACGAAATACGGGACCAGTAGTTGAAATCAAACTTGAAACTTATCTTCGAGGGCCCAAGTATGAGCAGCTGCAGCAGGCTATTAGAGCTAACGAGCTGAGGCCTCCCTCCCCACCTTCTCCTACTTTAACTTCATTGCTCAAAGTGCCCCTCAGTCAAGTGGTAAGAGTTTTTCTGAATTTAACGTTTGTTCCATTTCGCCAAAGATTATTTTAGTCTGTAACAAAATATGGCCGAGAAATGAAATATCTTCATGTTTTATAAACATTTGTTCAGAACTTTCAGTTCTAGTGAAATGACATTTGTGCCGACTAGGGACTTTCGAACTTTGAGAGAAATGATATGGGCCATCTTGTTGAAGATACATCAGTCAAATCAGTTGTAATTTATTCAGTATGTTTTGCCACATCACCACCATGGATCAATTTAGCATTCAACAACACGTGTACATAATAAAATTGTTTTATCAATTTGGGTATTCTGTGCGGGCAACGTGCCATGAGCTTCGCCCATTTTACAGCCATAATCGTCCCACCGAGAGGACTATTCGCAATGTGATGAATTTGAGTTCACTGGTTCAGTAAACGATCGACCAACACCCATACGTCGACGAAACGCAATATCTGCCGAAAACATCGCCGCTGTCTGTGAGAGTTTGCAGGAGAATCCGAGNTTATTTCATTTCAATTGTTCGATTTTAAATTTTTTGCTTGATTTTTATTTTATTGTAGGTAATTTCTTTTTCAGGGTTTTTTTGCTTGATATTGTTTTTTAAATTTTTGCCTGATGTTTATTTTATTGTAATTTCTTTCTTAGGGCTTTTTTTGCTTAATATAATTGTTATTTTCAGCTAATCTTTTCAATTTTAATTTCCATTTGTTATTATTTCAAATCATATCATATTAGACAATGGAAGTCCGAACTGATGAAATTCACCATGAAACATTGTCAACCACCTTCAAACAAACGTTATGAATTTTGTTGTGTTTTAAGATCTGTGTTGATATCCTATATTGTGAAGTAGGTGATATATTTAAAAAATCAGAACGGAACAACTGTTACTTATACAATCGACCACATTTAACTTTAAAAATTGTTAAATTACCACTGGCTTTATCCACCGTATATATCCTATTTCTTATTTTTGAGTACTTTAATTTTTTTTGTTCACAGAAGAAATTTCTGGAATATTCGTCAAGAGTATTAGTAAAGGAAGTGCTGCAGATCTAAACAAGAACATAAAAATCAATGATAGGATCGTCGAGGTGAGTGAAATCTATATTTTTCATTCAACTCCTACAGCGTGTTCATTTGAAAAATTAGAACATGATACCTATTCAAGAGATTGAAGAATGAAAAATGAGTAATTAAGGTTCTGTTTTTTCTAAGCACTTTCATTTGTAACTGACATTTTCAAACTAATACAATAAACTTATTCCCTTCCACTCACATCCAACATTGTACATTCTAGAAACATAATCCACTCGTTCCATTAATAACAGTATTTTGAAATCAGTTACAAGTTTCTGTATTCAAAAGATTTATCTGTTATCTTCTTTCATTCATTTATTGAAGACTTTTTTTTTAATAAGGTGATCCGTTATTTTCCAATTGGATTTAAAACAATAAAACTGGTCTATGATTATCTTCTCAATGAAGAGGCCCAGTATTCACATGTGAAATTACAAAAAATCTTGTAAGACTTTTTCAGTGCTCTGAATAGATATACAGGCCCAATCTGCCGCAGTCAATCTTGATTTCAATCTGATTTTCTGTAGTGTTTCCAAATCCCTATTTGTCGCTGATATTTTATTCAAGGAGAGATAGGATCAATATCTATCGGCCATACAGTTCTCTCGATGTGCATGCCCTATATTTTTTCTGCCCAAGCTTCAAGAGCATTCATTAGTGTTTCCTTTTTCTCGGTTCTTCAGCATGAAAACTGAAAACTTAATTGTAAACTCAGGGCGCTTCCTCGAATCTTCGGCAATAAATTTGTAACTTGAACGAGAAAACTCTCAACGAAATGAAATTTCTTAGTTGGAACTTTCATTTTCTTGAACCTGTAAGTGGGAAAATATTTGTTCTCAGGTCTTATCTCGATTGAAGGGTTGACTAAAGAAATTGAAAGATTCATTTGAATTGAAAGGGGATTATTTCATCTTTACTTATACAGGGTGTTCCAAATTAAGTCGTCACCATTGCCAACTCCGTTGTCATTGATGCTAAGAATTCTGTTAAATGGAAAATTAGTAGCATTTTTAATGGACTCGATGCCGAAAACAAAAAAAATTGGCAGTCGCGTTTTCAAAATATTTTATAAAATGATATTTTTTTAAATGTANAAAATAGCATTCAACAACACGTGTACATAATAAAATTGTTTTATCAATTTGGGTATTCTGTGCGGGCAACGTGCCATGAGCTTCGCCCATTTTACAGCCATAATCGTCCCACCGAGAGGAATATTCGCAATGTGATGAATTTGAGTTCACTGGTTCAGTAAACGATCGACCAACACCCATACGTCGACGAAACGCAATATCTGCCGAAAACATCGCCGCTGTCTGTGAGAGTTTTCAGAAGAATCTATCACACCAAAGACCTGCGTTCAATATTCCAACGAAAACTTTTTTATGACATCATGAAATAGAAATGTGTTGAGCGAAAAGATGGGCTGACGTGAGTGCGCCACGTGACAGGGCGGTCTGTCTCGTTGAGGGATACGTCTGGTCGTCTGTCTGCCTGAATTATTTATGTCCACAGAAAATTCAAATTTCCCGTTACGATGTTCTGAGATGTAAAAGTGTGCGCTCTGATTAGCTGGCGAGCTATGTGACAGTTTGAGGACACTACGTGACAATTTGGTACATTCTGATTGGTTCACGGCTGGGTGACAGGATACCACGTGACAATTTGGTGTACCTGGCAACCTGGCTGCTGTGATGACGTCACATTCTGCCTGAAATGAGGTAACTTCTACAGTCGATTTCGCGTCGCTCACAAGAACTCGGCCTTTCTCAGACCACAACTTGGCGAATTTTGCATCGTGACTTGAGCCTGACCCCGTACAGAATTCAACTGACTCAGGAACTGAAGGTTAAAGACCATAGATAACGAAGTGTGATTGCCGAATGGGCTCTGGAGCAGTTGGCAATTGACCCTAATTTTCATTGAAAAATCATCCTCAGCGATTAGGCTCATTTCTGAATAACTACATACCAATAAGTATTAATAAGTATTATCATAATTAAGATTCAGCTCTATGCCTACTTTGAGAATAATAAATTTTTCAGCAACTCACAATATGGTTTCAGAAAGTCGCGCTCAACAATAGATGCAGTGTTCGACGTCGTGTCTGGCGTGATTGAGGAACTTGAGCAGGACAATGACACTGCGTTGATGCTATGTGACCTGTCGAAAGCGTTCGACTGCGTCTTACATGAAATTCTGTTGGAAAAATTAAACTATTGCGGAGTTAGAGGTACTCCGCTCCACTTAATAAGGACTTATCTTACTAATCGTCAACAAGCAGTGATGCTCAACGGTATCTTATCAAACTATTAAGCATGGCGTTTCGCAAGGGTATGTTTTGGGCCCGCTCTTAGTTGTCATTTATGTGAATGACTTGTGCAAATATATGATGCCGTTATTACAAATATTATTATTATTATTAATGAGTACAAACAAAATTATCGAATTTGGAACGACACCTTTCCACATGAGATCCAAAAGCGTCCAATACATCTCAAAAAGTAACTTTTTGGTATGAATTTTGGGCTGGCGGCGTCATCGGTCCATATTTCTTTGATCTGGAATATGTGGTTTCAAGAGCCACACAGCTCATGCCTCATTGAATATTCTGCACAAGCGATTTGAGGGTATGGTCATCTCACTTAGAGGTGATATAAACTGACCACCAAAATTGTGCGATTCGACTCCGTTAGACTTTTCCTTGGGATATTTTCTCAAGTCTCATGTGTATGCAAAAAAGCCACAAACCATAGTTGCCCTCAAAGCCAACATAATCCATGCCATCGATCAAATTCAGACTGATTTATGTGTCAGAGTCATGAGGAATTGGACTTTTCCACCCAGAATAGCCGTGACGGAGATTTGAATGATGTTATATTCCACATATAATGGCAGCAATAAGTTTTTCAAACAAATACAAAATTTTGATAATATCCCACACACAATTTATTTCAACTAAATTTAAAGATAGGAAGCGGTAGCCAGGCGGCCAACCCGTGTTAGGAATCACACGTTAAAAAGTAAGACCTCGTTAATCCATATCTCGCACAAGTTTCGACTTCTGAGGGTTGTCGTTCGTAGGGGTGCGACAGCTAGTTAACGGAAAAACAGATTTTAAACAGATTTTTGTTTTAAACAGATTAATGAAAGACCTCATATAATAGATCTCTTCGAATGCCAAATGAAAGTAATTACAGTCCGATTCGTACCAACAAGCTCAATAGAGATTATGGAATAAAAGTAAAATAGTGGAAAAAAGGGCTTCCCGAAGCATTTCAACTCGGGGTCGAAGTAGAGTTGGCATGGAAACAATCTGTAGCTTGTTTAGTGTTGAAAAAACACTGGTTTCACATTGATAGTTTTCAGCAAAAAGTAATGATATCAAAGAGGTCCGAAGAATTATACCTGTAATTAGTAGTTGACAAGGAATATTCGGTGATGATGTTTACCCAACTATGGAAACATTTTTTTCACACCAGAACAAAATACTGTTTTTCGTTTTCCTACCAAGTCTCGCCCACTTGTCCGGCACAGCACAGCACGGCCCGTCCCGTCCCGTCCACTAGCCCGGCACGGCACAGCCAAGAGCGTCCGCCGCCGGAAAGGATTCCAGCTCTCCGATTCTGTCCGGCAAATAAGGAAACTTGCTGTGACGGACTGGCCAAGTGAGCGCATCGCCGGCCAGCGTTTGCCAGCATCAACTTGTCCAGAAGGGCCTGGGAAGTTTCTGTCTCTCTGTTTTGCTATTCCATCAGTTGACAGCACTGTATCAGACGGTACCTATGAAAATGGACGAGGAAAATTGGGTTGCTTGTTAAGGCAGGCTTCAGAATATCGAGTTCTGAAAATTTGCCTGGAGTCATTCGGAAATACTGGAAAAGATGATGAAACTCTCCCAGATTTGCCCTCTTTTGATAAATGGGATTGACCCACACCTTTTTTTGTGAATATTTTCTTCTACATTCAATAATGCTGCCACTATAATGACGACTTCTTCGTCAGAACTGCTAGTGATAGACATGTTTCTGTCACCACTCGATGTCAACTGAAATTCCCTTGAAATTGAATAAACAACACCTTCAGTATGCTGGTTGTAGCTAGACAAGTGGGCGATGTTACTACCCGTCGCCATCAGGCGATGGACAGCGCCGTGCTGTGCTGTGCCGGACAAGTAGGCGATAAGCTTCAAGCTTATCCGGCACAGCACGGCACGTCCCGTCAAAATACGGATAGGATTGGAACAATGAAAATGAATGGACCAGCGCCCACTAGCCCGGGACGGCACAGTCAAGACCGTCCGCCGCCGGAAAGGATTCCAGCGCTCCGATCGAAAATACTGGAAAAAATTCCTCGTCTTCTTTTCAGATCGTTGAGGACAAATTTGCCCTCTTTTGAAAAATGGGATGGATAATATTCCTTTTTGTGACTATTTCCTTAGAAATCGAACAAACAGCACCTTCAGTATGCTGATTGTCGCTGGACAAGTGGGCGAAGCTATTCCCAGTCGCCATCAGGCGACGGCCAGCGCCGTGCTGTGCTGTGCCGGACAAATGAGCGACAAGCTTTAGTATGAAAGTATCTTTTTTAGCGAAACGCACGCCGAGAGACAGTGTTTTTGATAGACTTTTTTTATGCCGGAGGTTTCAATTCTCCCTATCAAAATATTTACTCAGATTATTTTTCAAATTGTTATCGAATCGTTATAGGAAAACAGAGTTTTTATGCTCAAAAAACATAGGTGGGTCTCACGCACTGACAGTATTGAATATAAACCAGTTATGAGCAAAACTTATCAGGGAGGTTTAAATAATTTTTGGAACAATGAAAATGAATGGACCAGTGCCCACTAGCCCGGCACGGTACAGCCAAGACCGTCCGCCGCCGGAAAGAATTCCAGCTCTTCGATCGGAAATACTGGAAAAATTTCACCTCGTTTTCTTTCCGATCGTTGAGGGCAGATTTGCCTTCTTTTGATAAATGGGATGGATAATATTCCTTTTTGTGACTATTT